CCGGCCTCCACCGCAAGCACTGCTGCCTTTGTTTCTCCCTGAGCAGACAACACCACCGTCAGGAACCCGGGCAAGCCCCACGGTCACAGCACACCTACTGTGTTTGTGTTCTCTGAGCAACGTTTATGTTGAGGACATTTCTGTCACAGTCCTTTCAGCTGGGGGTCCTATGGCAGCCCTGAGGCTGAGCACCACCTGGAGACAGCACATCCAGGAAGAGTCCTCAGCAGAGTGCAGGAGGCCCTCCTAGGACGCAGGCAATGCCAGGAGCGATGGGGGATGTTCTGGTGGTCAATTTAGGGGAAGGGGAGCTCAGCCTGGTGACTCCCGCCCTGGAAAGCGCAGGCGGTCGGCCCTGACCGCCAGCAGCATGGGACGGCTCCCTGCAGGGCCGCTGGTCTCCCCCCGCAGGCCCTCTCCCCTCTCCTCCTCTCTGGATCCCCCACATCTGAATGGATCAGGAAGCACGTCAGTTATCAAGTACGGAAGTCAGGCTCTGGGATCTCCATCTGGAGAGCTCTTTCTCACACGTTTCCCACCCTCCCTCAGGATCCTGCACACATTCCATGGTCGAGCCTCCTGCTCCCAGGGTCACTCCCGGGTCCCATGACAGGTCCTGCCGAGGCTCAACCGCTCAAGCCTCGCCCTGACCATGAGGTAGTCACACTTACATGGAGGCTCCACATAGGAGCCCACAGGTTCAGCTACTCCTTGATGTGTCCTTTGCTTACTTGATTCTTTTTGTGAAGACAGCCAGGAAGCTCTGCAGCCACGCCTGGGCCAGAGCTCGATTAAAGGAGTAGCTGCCCTGGACTCAGGGTGGTGTTGGCATCAGGGAGACCGAGAGGACCCCATGGGGACAAAACATGCCCAGGAACAGGCTTGCCCACAGGGTCACAGTCCCTCCCCATTAGGCCTGCCCCAGCCAGGGTTCTCTTCCACTCTGGCCTAGCAGGGTCTGCCCTGTGGGCTCTGACCAGGGTACATGTGCCCTGCTTGACCCCCAGACTCCATCCCGATTCTTAGTCAAATAGGCTGCAACAGGGAAGTGTGAGTTCTTGCAGAAAAGACGCAAGGAAGTTTCTTAGGAGCCTGTTAGGTCACTTCTGTGTCACCATTTGTCACCTTGAGCAAGCAGAGGTGTCTGCATTTGAGACTGCAGACCCTGGCTCCTCCAGAAGGACATCAGACTCACGTTCATGCTAATACTGACAACTGAATTCTCCCCAGGATTCCTGCAAGGATGGGATGACCCTTCTTAGGAGAATTTCTGGAAAGTTCTTTCTCAGAGAGCAGGGGTCTTTGCTGTCCGGTGGGTGGGGAGAGTTACAGTGGCGTCATGCTTAGAACTCTGAGGGCTCAGGTTTTCCTGGCCTCGCCTCCCTGGGCTTCACAATCAAGTCTTACATACACTTGATGTGACAAAGATGTAATAACGTTACCCAGAGCCGATGGGGAGCAGACAGGAACGTGTGGTGGGGTGAAGCTAGGCCAACGCAGCCTACCAGTGACTCACAAAGACAGACACAGAGAGAACCGTCACCCCCATTTCCTTTGGTACAAATGCCACTATTCTGGTCCCCACTGCAAGGATCCCGTGTCCTACGAGACCATAAGCCCCACCACCCTGCAGCATCTCCCAACATGCTAGTGTCCCCCTGAGGCCACAGCCCCGCCCCAGCCCAGGCCAGGCAGAGGTAGGTCTTCTGTAGCCTCTGGCCTAATCCTGGTAGTTTAGGGGCCCACGGACTCTCCATGAGGGGCATTTCCTGAAGGACTCGGAAGTACAGCTCAGGCACAGCTCACCCCCAGCAAGTGGCGGCTCTCAGACGTGGGCCTGACTTTGAAGCCAGCTTTTCTTCAGCCTGCCACACAGGTGAGCTTCCTCTCCCCCTCAGTATAATGACCTGGCCCTTCTGGAAACTCAAGGATGACAGGAAAGAAGAAAAGAGCAAATAACCTTCATGTTTAAATCTGACAAGGCCTATAAACCCCAGAAATAAGAAACCAATGTAACTTTGAGCCACAGAAGGCACTGAGAAACCATCTAACGAGGAAAGCAGGCCATCATCCCACTGTGGGTGATTCTTGGAGCCCTTCAGGAATCACATGCTCCTGGGATTAGGGAGCAGACCCAATCAGGTCTTGTCAGTTTCCCCATGGAGATGGGGAGGTTGAGAATGGTCTAGATGGTCTGGCAATGGAAAGACTTGCTTTGTTAAACCTTGCTCAGCAATGCCCTGCTGGGGGACCCAGCTAGGGACATTTTGGAGCTGGTCACACCTGCCCCAGCTCCCTTTTGGAGGGGTCATTAGGGTCAGAGGGAAGGGAGGGTGAGTCTTGAGCCAAGGGTGACTGCAGGCTGGGGTGGGGCGCGGTGGGGTAGTGCTCCCAGGCCCAATTCCTGAGGGGCCCTCTTAGGCATCAAAGACAGACAGCGATCACTGAATGTTAAAACACTCTGGCTTAGTGTCTTCAACGTTGGTGCCTCTCCCCCAAACCAGCTTGTGGCCGCTCAGTGCTCTGTGACACGGTAATGAAGCAAACCCTAAAACGCACCAGCCTGTCAGCACCCGTGATGCAGGGAGCCCCTGAAGCTGAGGGGCTGGCCAGACCCGGTGGGACCCACTCTGCCATTTCTCTGTGGTGTGGCCCCCGTGATCCCCACTCACCATCCCCTGCCAGCTCTCCTGGCAGAGCCGCTTGACAACGATGATCTGTAAAAAGCCCACTGGGAACTGCTGCTCCCATCCCTTCCTGCCTGTCCCCCAAAGCGGTCTCGCTCCTTCGTGCTGGGAGCGCCCCCTCGTGGGGAAATGGGCCAGTGGGGCCAACGAGGGAGAATATTAGTGACTGGCCATGAGAGTACAGTGAACGCACGTTGTGTGAGGAAGGAAAAGAACAGGGGGGTGGGGAGGACGGGGACGGAGGGTTGAGAAATGAGGAGAGGAAAGAAAAGACGACAGCCTCGCTGCGGGAGCCACTGTGGGCCGCCCCGAGGTCTTCAAGGCCAGCAGGCAGGGTGGTGGCCAGGGCGAGTCGGCTGCCAGGGCGGCAAATTGCCTGGCTGAGAGCCCCAGAAGGTCTGCACCCACCAGCCAGTACTGCTGGCCTCTCTGGCCGGGCTCACAGTAGGGGTTTAATCAGTGCTTCCAGAACACATTACAGACACGACGACAGAGACTGACGTGCACCATGGACGTGCACACGTGCACTTTTAACCCTGAACTGAGCCTCTGCTTCTTGGGAAGGTGCTCTCCCATGTGGACGTGCGCAGTGACCCCACCCTGCACGTGCACACACAGCCGTGACTGTGAATGTTCTGGAGCAGCGCTGTCCAATAGCAATGTGATGCGAGCCACACGTGCAATTTTAAATAGTAAAAATTCCAGTACTTTTTAAAGTACTTTTAGTACTAAATTCTAGTACGTTTTACTTACTAGTAAGTAAAAAGAAACAAGAAATTAATTTAACTAATATGTTTTAATTAAACCCAAACATCCAATATATGATCATTTCAGCATGGAGTCAATATGAAAGTTATTCGTGAGGTGGTCCACTCCCTCTGTGCCGATCCTCCAGCATCCGGGCATGCGCTCTGCACCTACACTCCCAGCGCGTCTCACCCGCACCAACCCCGGGGCCTGTGGCTCCCTCACTGGACGGCGCAGCTCCCCGTGAGGCTCACGGCTTCTGCTCACCAAGTTCGTCTCACACGTCCTGACAGACGTCTTTTTAAAACGTCCAGTTTCCCTAAATTTTTAAAACGTCCAGTTTCCCTAAACTTCAACAGAGAGCACTCCACTGCATTTAACTTCTCCTCAGTGACCCCCATCCTCACCATGACAAGCATTATCTCCCTGTGCTTTCAGGGTCTTCTGTTTCCCCCTTTTCTGCTGGGAAAGGCAGAAATGAGTGAGCTTTTTGGTGACAGTCCCCACAGGCCACCTCGATGGCCAGCGTCAGAAACCCAGACAGAGTCAAGCCCCTGAGTGGGGTCCAGCCCATGGTCTGGAGCAACTGCACACCCCGATTCTGTGGGAAACCTAAGGCCAGTGAATGCCCACAGCCCCAGACCCCCGTCATCCTCATGGGCCACCACGGGCCCCACAGTGGCGTCACTCTGACAGCTCTTTATTTTCTCCACCCCAGATCCTACCATTAATGAGGTGGCCCGAAGGTCTCTGTGACAGATGCTGTGACATGTGGCCTCAGAGAGCTGTCTTGTCTGGTGGCCTCTGCCTCTCGGCCACAGCACATTCCTGGCATGGCCCCTCATCAGCCCACTCCCCTCCCGTTCCTCCCCATCAAACCCCTCCCAGGCTGCCCTCTACCCCACCAGGCATCTCCCCAGGGCCTCCGTGTCCTGGACTCCTGGCTGCGGGCCACCCAGCCCAGCAGGACCCAAGGCCTGAGCACTTGAGGAGAAAACGACCCTGTGGAGCCCAGTGCTCCACTCCCATCCCCGCCCGGGCTTGGGGCTTCCTCCCCACCTCCCTCAGAGCCCCCTCGGATCCTCCCACCCCCTCTATGCCAGTGCTCCCAGCGCCATTCCCACGGCACACCTCCTGACTCCCTGCTCTCTCCCTCTCCCCACACCCCCAGCTCAGGCCCAGCTCCCACCAGTGGCCTGGATCCAGGCTCCGCATCTGCCTCCCACCTGCCCTTCCTCTCTCAGCCCCTCCCCACCACCCCACCTGCAGGGCTGCAGGGCAAGGAGACTGCAGCTGGTCCCCCCACCTGCTGAACCCTTACTGCTCCAGCAAGGCCAGCTGCACTGGCCTCCCCCCGTCCCTGTTACCGTCGCTTTATCTAGCCCTCTCCCTCCCTGGACCAAGAGCATGTCCCTCTCGCAGTCCCACTGCGCCCTCAGCACTGGAGCCGGCCTGGCACCCAGAGTCCTGAGGGAGCCCCAACACCCCCTCGAGTGAGGAGGGCTGTGTTCCCCCTTTCTCCCTCCCTCTGGAAACTCACCCATCGATTCCTCAGTCCAGCCTCTAATCCACCCACCCCTCCCCTGACCTGCCCCTCGGCCCTTCCCCACTCCTCCCTGGCCCCAGCTCCAGGTGGCACCTGGAACTTCCAGGTGGGCGACGTGGGGAGGGGCGTGAAGGAGGGCAAAGCCAAGAGCACCTGTGGGATCTCAGGCCCTCCCTCACACACCCACGGCAACACCTGGAAGGTATCGCCTGCTCAGGAACCAGGCAGAAAAGAGGAGTCACAGTCTGTCCTCCAGGCTGCCCATCCAGGTGGCTGACAGCATCTAAGAGGCCAAGGTGTCTCTCACACTCAGGGCTTTGCTCTCCACAGCGCACCACGCTGCCCCTTCCCTGCCCCTCGGTCTGTTGTTCTCTGGGGGTGGGGGCACCTCTACAGAGCACAAGTCTCACCTAGCAGAGTTAGCCTCTAGGGGAGGGGGTGTTGGTCCCATTCCAGAAGTACTGCGGGTTGTCTCTAATAAAGCGAGCTGTGAAATCCTGTCCTTGGTCTCTAAGCTGCGTGGCAGGGATGGCCTGCAGGGAGGGTCCTGCCCTTGCAGCTCGAAGCTGCTCTGGCTTTCTGGGGGCCAGGGCAGTTTCCATGGAAAAAAGAAAGCACACCAACCCCCGGAGATCAACCAATAAACACAAGCTGTAAAAGGAGAGAATGGGCAGCAAGTGAGCTGGTGGGCCCGGGAGAGAGAGGCAAGTGTGTGGCAGCTGCGCCGTGGAGCAGAATGGGAGAGGACGCAGGCCCTGGGGCCCAGGAAAAGGAGGGCCTTGCAGGGAGGCTACAGTTCTTGGCAGAGAGAAAGGAGGCCTCTGGAGGTCAGAGAGAGACACAGAGAGAGCAGAGAGAGCATGGGTCAGTGAGGAGGACTGCGCTCGAGTGCCCGGGGCCTCACAGGATGGGGAACGCGGGTACCCAGGGCCCTGGCACTCACCCCGAGATGGGGCTGACATTTGAGTGGAGGGCAGGCCATGCCCCTGTGGGTGGGTCTGTGAAAGCCCTGGTGCTTCTGGCCCAGGAGCCACCCCAGGAGGTTTGGCTGCATGTCAGAGGGTTTCTGATAGCCACCGGGAGCAGAAGTGTCACAGGGGGAGGATGCAGTTGGAGCTCCACCATGACACCTGGTCACCAGCACCTGTTCATCCCCATCATGACCCTTGAGAGTGAGGAGGCCCCTCACACCTAAGCCCAGTGCTCTACCACTCAGGCCTCTGCACCCTGAGCGTCTAGGGCAGCCAGGGGCTGCCACCCTGACCCCCTCTCGTGGGAACCCGAGGAGGGAAGCTCAGCTGGCCAGATTCCTGAGCAGGACTTGGGCCCGCATGGGGTACAGGTGAGGGGGTGGCAAGAAGGCCACGCCCTGAGCACGTCCCTGGAGCCTGTACAAACCGTGAGAACAGGAACCAAAGCAGTCTTGTTCTCGCATTTGTGGAGTGAAGGCAGGAGCCCAGAGGTGAGAAGAGTCTGGGGCAGCGAAAGTCCCGGATGAGGCCCAGCCTACTCGAGTCTCTCTGGGGCACCCCCTCTGAGCCCACCCGATCTGGAGGTGCTCTCTCAAGGGCGGCAGCCAAGCCGAAGTTGGGGACTGGAGCTCAAGGGGCGACCCCTGGATGGCCCAGGGGGTCCTGGGAGAAGATCGACAGAAAGGCCTGGCCACTGAGGGCCAAGCCCGCACCGCGCAGGGCGCTGCCCACCTCCCCGCCCCTGCCACCTGGCCGCACGGGCCACAAGGGCAGGGAGCACCGGGCCCGAGTCTGACCTCTCGTCTCAGGCACACTCGATGTGGGCAGGGACACGGCCGCAGGGTCCTGGGGCTCGCTCGCCAGCCTCTGCCCGGCACACACGGACTTGAGCACCTGGAAAACGGCGAGGGGGGCCACGTTCATCTTCAGCAGGTCCACCAGGAGCCTGGAGGGGGCAGACGCGGTGCGCAGGGAGCCCTCCTCGCCCACGCCAGGCGTGGCTGCCGCCCTCAAGACCCCGACTCTACTCTGGGCCTCATGGGGGTCCGACAAGGGCCTGGGGGGGCGGGAGAGCAGGAGTGTCGGGGGTCCGCCGAGCGCAGCTCCCCCGCGCCCGCTCACTTGAACACGTCGGGGTCGATGGCGCCGCCCGCCGCCTGCCCCAGCTCGTACAGCTCCGTCTCCTCGGCGCTCAGCACCTTCTTCCGCCGCAGCGCGAGCTTCTGCAGAGCCACCTCCAGACCCTGGGGCGCCCCCGGCCCGGGCCCGGAGCCCGGCACCGCCATCTGCGCCGCCCCGGGAAGGTGCGCGCCCCGCCCGGCCCCGGCCCCGGCCCAATCAATGGGCCCTGTTCTCGGTCCCCGAAGCCCCCGGCCCCGCCCCACGGTGTGCTCCCGCAGCGCCCTCTACCGGCCCCGCCGGAGTTCCCTTCGCGGGAGCGCCACCGCCTGGCCTCCTCGGCAGTCCGACCCCGGAGGGCAGGGAGGGCTCTGTCTCCCCTCGGCCATTCTGTCCGCAGACACGTTACGTGCCGGGAGGTGTGTTAAGTGTGCGGGATACGTGACCGACTCCAGACACCCGCTCCTCGGCGATCAGGGCTTCCCTGCTCGGCTGCATCGTTCGTTCTCACTTAGGTAGCAGCACCCAGAGCACTGCCTGGCATACAGTGGGCACTCAATAAATGCCTGTCGGAGGAAGGGCAGTCAATACACTCTGTGTAATTGTTTTGCGCGGGTTCCCGACTAGGGGGCGCACCTCGAGAACAGTAATAAAGGGCCACTCCTTATGCGCACGCGCAGTCCTTGCCGTGGATACAGTGTGGGCTAGGCCTAAGGGGCGGAGCTGCCCCCACTGCGCACGCATATTCAGAGGTGGTATCAACAACCCGGCCAAGCTTCGTTTTGCGCGCGCGCTTTTTGAGGTTGCCCACGGCAATGGTTGCAGCGCGTTCCAGCCTAGGCCAGGGGGCGTGACTCCTTGCGAACCTGGATGACGACATTTCGGCGCCCGGTTGTCGAAGGGTGGCCTCCGTCCCTGAGGCGAGCGATGCTGTGGACCCCACAGGTGAGTGGGGGGACCGCCCCGTGTCCTGGCGGCATCCCCGAACCTCCGCCGAAGCCGTCTGGTTCCTCCGCGAGCCCCGGGCTGGGCCGGCGGGACCCCGGGGCCGGCCGCGCCCTCCTGCAGTCTTCCTGCCGCCTCTCACGCCCGCCCCGTGTGCTCGGTTAACGCTCGTGAACGGGCCGGCGGAAGGGAACTCGGGGTGAAAGCTGAGCCTCGAGTCGCCCAGCGATGTGGGTCCCGGCCGAGCCCTCCTCCCCGTGGGGCTCGAGTTCTCCGAGCCTCAGTTTCCTCATCCGTAGGACGGGGCCCCGAGGCTCCCTTCCCAGGCCGCTTGTGAGCCCCAGTGGGGGCTGCTTGGCTCCGGAGCAGCCGGAGGGAGGCCTTGGCGTGATCCTGGCCTGCATGTTCACATGATTCAGTGTGTCTCCAAATGTGATAGTCACAGTACGGGTCAGGCCTCTGTGTAGGGCAGTGCTCAGAGGTGGGAGTCAGTAATAAGGTTTTTCAAGGAGTGTATGAGACACGCCCCACAGAGACGCTAACAGAGCTCTCTCTGTCTTTGCTGGAAAATCCTCAAGGACTTGAACGAAGTCTTGCAGCGCTGTGCAAAGGGCTTCTTTATGGAGTCAGCTTTCAGGCTAGCCTAGAAGATAGAACAAATCGAAAAAGTCAGGAGCATATTCGCTTTGCAACTTTTGCTGATATTCTGGCTCGAGTCAAAACAGAAATCCAAGTGCTGGGCAGCCGTCAGACACAGACCACTGGCCTGATTAACCTAAAATAAGAGTGCAAGTGAGAGGCAGAGAGGTGTTTATTTTGGGATCAAAGAATTGCAGTTCAGGGAGCACAGATTCAGGTAGAAACCCAAATAGCGTCCGGCTAGGGAGTAAAAATCGGAGGCTTTAAAGGCACAGAAGGGAAGTTTGCATTACATAGAATGTTAATTTGAGTTTCAGGCAGAACGCTAATCTTGGCTAAAAGTAATTGCTAAGGCTAGCTAGAGGGAGGCAACAGTCCCTCACTGTGAGGAGCTGCAGGTTTCTTGCAGCGTTACTCAGTTCAAAAGTGCATGTTCTGGGCTGGCCTGGTGGGGTGCTGGTTAAGTTCAGCACGCTGGGCTTCAGCAGTCTGGGTTTGCGGGTTTGGATCGTAAGCACAGACCTACGCCACTCATCAAGCCATGCTGTGGTGGCATCCCACATGCAAAAAATAGAGGAAGATGGGCACAGGTTTCAGCTCAGGGCCACTCTTGCTCACCCATGAAACCAAAAAAGGTTCACGTTCTGCTCCATGAGGACGTGCATAAGACACATTTCCTTCATGGCTTCCCAGCTCCATTTTAAAGCCCTTAGACAGAAGTGACTCTGTTTTGTTTCACGTGTCACATCACCCCCCCCTTTTTTTTTTGCTGAGGAATATTGGCCCTGGGCTAACATCTGTGCCCATCTTCCTCTAGTTTATATGGGACACAGCCACAGCATGGCTTGATAAGCTGTGCATTGTTCTGTGCCCGAGATCCGAACCTGTGAACCCCTGACCACTGAAGTGGAGTGTGGGAACTCAACCGATACGCCACTAGGCTCGCTCCCACATTTTCCCCTTTTGATCGAGATCTTTCTCTGAAAGCATCACTGATCAACCATAGATTTGTTTAGTCCCACATCACTGGGATAGGCCTGTCTCAGAGAGTCATGTCCCACATCAGGAGGAAATTAATATTTTTTTCCCAACGTCTATTCCAAGGCGTCAGTGTCAGAAGAGTCAGGCCATATTTGAGCAACAGGGAGGCGGTCAGGTAATAAATCTTAGACAGTTTCCTTGCCTGGGAATTTCATCTGGTTACCTGAAGGTTCAGCTGAATAAGCCTTATCTATCATTTCAATACATTGAGCAACCATAATCTTGGTGTTTGTAGAAGTTCTAGAGCAGACCTGAGTGAGTAGTAGCATAAGAAGCTTAATTACAAGTACACACAGCAAAATTCCAATGATAATCATAACAATATTTGAATCCTGATCTCATCCATGAACCTGTACCTGAAGGAAGCCAGCTGAAAACATCGATAAGCACCAGAGGGTGTCACTGAAAGACATTAGACCCCAGTCATCTTGTGCTGCTTTTATAATTTTTCCAAGTTCTAATTCAGCTTCACCAGAACAGTTGATGCAGGTACAGCAGGAGGTGTTGGCTGTGATACAGAGGCCACCCTGTCCTGCAAGGAGATAATGGAGTGCATTCGATTATCTAATAGAACCCTCGCTAGGGAATCAGGGATTGTTGTTGTTGAGCTAAGGCTCGAGTGGTAGAATTTGCCAGTGTAGCTATGGTTTGCGATAAATTTTTTATCAACAGCTCATCATGGACAACGTCAGTCCAAGGGACAGAGCCTTTGGCAGTGGTGATCAAGGACAGTAGATGGGGTGTAAAAAGGGAGTCTCCAAGTCTTGCCTAGATCTCTGAGATGGTGGTTGAGTTTCTTCTTTAACAAGGACTTGAAATAGAATACTATGGTGTCCTAAAAGGCACTGTCCTGCCATATGCCAGCTGTCTACACATTCATAAGCCCATGGTTCCCCATAAAAATCACACACAAAGATGTATCCAAAAGGGGACACATAGAATGCAGTGCCTTCTGGCTCTGTAGCAGTGTCAGTGGTCAGGAGCACATGGTAAGGTCCTTTTCAATGGGGTTCGAGTGCTGTCTTCCTCTGATGATGCTTCCACAATACCTGATACCAGGCTCTGAACTGTGACCAACAGGGTCCTTTAAATTCAAATCCAGAAGAGCGTTTTTAACCTGTTGATGATGGGCTTGAGCAAAAGACAGCAGAGACTCACAGTAGCTGGTCATACGTGCATAAGACAACGGGATCAGCAGAAGGTTGTGTACCAACAGACACTGATGTGCTGGTGACCGTCTCATGTGGAGTCAGTTCATGTTTTCCGAAGAGGGCCCTGTGAGCAGTCAGCAAGACTGAAGGCAATACCTTAGGCCAGGAGAGTTCAGTCCATAGCGTATAGCAGACCTCAAAGACAGTTAACAGAACTAGATTCTAATATGTACAAAGTACAAACATATTTTGTCTCTATAATTATCCTCACTTTTTTCTTTTGCCAGAGATAATCACATGAAAACTAAATTGTTTATATTAAAAACTTGGCCTTATTATTTATACAGGTGAAAATAAGAATATTCACTGAGAGTTTCTCAATTCTGGAGGAATCAGGTAGGGGAAAAAAGTCAATGTTTCAGCTTTGTTCACATAGTTAAGTCTTACCAATTAGTTGATAGATTAAGAGAAGACATTTCTTTAAATCTGGAAAAGAAAACATTAGAGCATCTTTCTTGGCTCGTGTGGTCCTGTGTAATTTAATATTTCTTCAGCTTGAATCCAGTTTTTCCATTAGTTTTCTTGACTTTTCTTGATGATTGAGGGTGCTAGGGACACTGAGAATCCTAAGAAGTTCACAAAATTTTCATTAAGGTTCATATGATTTGCCCAGTGAAGTGGGTGCCTTGGTCACTGGAGATTGTGGAAGATATATCCTAAGTGGGAAGCACATGTTCTGAGAGTTTCTTTGCCATTGTGAGGGCATCAGCTTTGTGGCAAGGGAAAGGCTTTAACCCATCCAGAAAATACCTACAATAATAACAAGAACATATTGATGAGCCATAGGAAGTGGCAGTTGACTGAAGTCCAGCTGCAGGTGCTCAAAGGACCAGAGGGAGGAGTTCTGAGGCCTCTGGGGACAGAAGTAGTCTTTCCTATAGTGGGGGTAGGAATGTAAAAACTGAAAAATAGGATTTGCCACAGAGCCGGGAAGAGCCCAGCGGCCGTCTTGGGTTTCCCATAGCCTACTGTTGGTTGAATTTACAACCATTGTTTCCCCACCTTAATTTCTCTGCTTCAGGAGCAGACTGTTGCCCTGTTATAAGGACATCAGGATGGAAAAGTCTGGCAATGAGGGACTGTCCTTCGCAGAGGGAGAATGGACCTCATCCACATTTGCCAATCTTTATAGATTCTGTTGTTGATGCCTTTACATAAAAATCAGCTAAGACGTGTTCCTGATATTTAGTGTGAGCCTTAATTTTGATGACAGACAACATTTTATACTAGGACATCTTAGACTTGCAGGAATTTCACATAATTTCTGGAACTGTTATAACATTTACTTGTAGAGACATAATGGTAAGGAAGGTCTAGTGTTATTTCTTATTTGACAGTGCTTCCCATATGATTTAACATATCAGATAAGCCTAATTAGTTTAATCTCTCTCCTTTTATAGGGAGAGAAAACCAATCTTTTGAGATGTTTCAAGGATCCTCTGAAAAATCCCAATGTTAGCTAGAGGTGAACAAAGACTTCATTTAGAATCTGATTTGAGGAAGTTTATCAAAAATATCAAAGAAGGTTTTAAAATACTTGCCTAAAAAGGGTCACAGATCAGTATGAAACTTAATATTTAATTTTCTGTTTAATCAAGGTGACAAAGATTTCAAAGACAAATACAGTAGGTTACATAGCTGCAAAACCTTAGCTCTCTGTAATAGGAAAGACTCAGTGTTTAACACAAAGCACCAGAAATTATTTTGATAAAACATAATAACATCCCTGCCTTTTAGGAAGATTACTCAAAGGTAAAGAAAAGCTTTTCATAATGTCTTTATCAGGAGTAGGTTACAAGTCAAAGAAACCTTATCCTTATAACAGAGAGAGAAAGCCAAATTCTAATTTTACACCCGCTTATTTTTGATATTAAAACTCAGTTAATTAAATTCATTCCAATCTTAGCCAGCTCGACCATGCACAGGACTCTTTTCTCAGGGTTCCTCTTCCACAAACTTCTCTTTTACATCTCTTTCTTCCTTCCCAAAACAAGTTTTACTTTAGGACAAATGTATTTTCTTAATGAAATTATCTCCATTTCTATACCTTCTTTTACTGAAAATGTACATTTCTCATAGCATAAGTTTTTTAATGTGGCACAAGATGTATTTACTAATAGACCCAAACATCTTTTAGGTTTTCTATAAGAAGGAGCCAAAAGTAGAGAAACCCCTGTTCAGGAATTAACATTTTCCAGTTTTATCTTGTCTGGAGATCTGTTTTATCTTTTCTAGATGTTCAATGAATTTTCCATCATTTACTTGCAGGTAGCAAAAGTCTAAGGTTTCAAGTTACCAAAAGATTTGGGGAAACTATTTTAAAGTACAGGTAACAGAAAATGTAATAATTGCACTTAAAATTCTTTATTTCATTAACATCTATATAATTCATATATTCTTAACAATCACACTTAGATTCTCCATGAAAATTTTATGAGACATTAAAGTAGTTAACTATCAAGTTAATTTTTTCTTGCTGACAAATCTTATAACAGTGATAACATGAGATTATTTGATTAATGACACAGGTAGAATAAAAATTGTATGTTTCCATTATCTCCAGTACTGAAGACAACTCTGAAGACATGCCTTTTGTTAAACCAACAAACTTAAGCAAGCTTTTATTGACCAAAGATTATTTTATAGCATATTAACTTGAAAAACATTTGGGTTAATTTCTATTATATTTAGAAATAATTTACATAAGCTCTTACTTTAAGTTCATTAAATAGAACTCTTTTTAGAAATTAATTTTGTTAATACCATCTGGAGGTAGAAAAATATCAGACATGTATAATGTACATGCGTATATAGACCGACACAGAGATCTAGCTTTCGTTTTAAAAGTTTTAGCCGTGAATCAGGTACAATACAAAACTCAGTGTTTTGTAAATAATTGTGTCTCTAGCAGATAGAACAAGTTAAGGTTACTTGCTTAAAAGTTTTTGTTGTTGTTGTTAGTATTTGTGGACAAGTCTTTTAAGATTTATTTTTGCTGTAGATAATGAGGCTGTGAATTAGATTTGAAGTGAGAGAGCCTCTCTGGCAGCCTGCATTTAAAAGGAAACTTCCCCTCTTTATTTCTTTAACCTCAGGCTTTACTGATTGAGTGTCTGCCAGGCTTAGTCTCAGATGATTTGTGGGTTGTTATCTCCTGGGGTGTGTACATTCTAAAGATATGGACAAATTTACAACTTCAAAGGACAGAGAGAAAAGAACACAAGTTTTTTCCCAGGAGATTCAGGGTAATCTTGATTTAAATTTTCCTTCAGTCTTAGGAATTGGGGATGGTCTAAATAAGAGTTCCTGGAGAGGTTACCAGGCTTTGAGTCAGGGAGCTATTAGGATTGGTGAAAGGGAAGGGGTGGAATCTGAACTGCCTGTAGAGCTGCATTTTCAGTTTTATAAAGATTTATGGGACAAGGATACTTGCTCTCATTGCCTCAGAAATTGAGTTGTACGTTTTTACGTTATCCCTAATTTGCTTCTTTCTCTCCAGGTACATAGTTTCATTTTAATTTATATAACCGCAGCCCTTCCAGGACCAGTTCCACTGACCCCGTCTCTTATCAACAGAGTGATTAATAATTGCCTTTCAGAAAATGTGCAAAGTCTCATAGTCAGAGCATGTGCAGAAGAAGAAATCTTGACCTGAAATGACTGAGGAACCAAAGATTCTCCTGCGGAACCCAAAGGACCTGGACATGACTGGAACTTGAACGTCAGACTCTTATCAGATGCGAGGGGTCCCTCAGTCAGGAAGATGTTGTGTTAAAATGCCTTCCCCACCTCATCATAAGTGTTTAGAGCCCTATCATAAAAGTTTAGAACCTCGTAATAAACGTTTAAAGCCTTACCATCAATGCCTGATGCCTAGCAATTAAAACCTGTCCCACCAAGCATTTTCATGTGCCACCGTGTTCTCCCTAACCTCTAAATTTCACCCCAAATATTGAATCAGGGAGACAGATCTGAGGGCACACACCCCCAGTCTCTCTGCAGATTAGTCTCGTAAAAATAAAGTTGATTTCTCCCCCAAAGGCTGATGCCATAATTAATTGGCTGTTTATGCACATCAGGCAAGAGAACCCCAGTTTTGTGTAGTAACAACTGGTGACCATAAAGGGATAAGGTCCTGTGACTGCCTGCCCGAGGCTCTGGAACCCCTAGCGGCGTGTGGGATCTTTTTGTCGACCCTAAGTGGCTGCCTAGATAATTCTGTCCACAGGCTCGACTGATTGGATTTCTGTTCCCTGCTGTGGTGCTCCAGGCCCCAAGGTGTTTTTTTCCCCTTTGGGAGAAGAAACAGCTTCTGGATCAAGATGTCTCTGGGCTCTGGGTGAAGATCTTTAAGAAAGCAACAAAGGGTTGATTTCCTGGAAATGTAAGTTTGGCTTGTATTCTGGGGAATCCGGGTGGGCTGAGACCTGAACCTTGGGCCTGAACCACTCAAGGTAATTAGTGGCAGGATAAAAGGCTCACTGATGGAGTGGCTTCTGGATCTGGGCAACTCCTGGCTCTGGTTGTGAGCTGCCCCTGGCAGTCTGGTTTTGAGTAGCTCCTGGCACTGGTTCTGAGCTACTCCTGGAAAACTAGCTAGTATTCTGGTCTATGTTATATGTAGAGTTGTATTGTGTGTTTGTCTGAATTGGGTTGACTTTTTGGGGACTGAGTTTCTTGGTGATCGAAACACTCTTTAGAAATTACTTTGACTATTCCAGCCACTTTGAAAAAAGAGCCCTAAAATAGGGATAACTGTAAACAGCTGGCAGTATAACTTGGGATAATTTAAAATTAAATTTACAGTTGCCACTTTGGAGTTCCTTTTTAAGAGCCAGGTAATAGAGAAATTTCTTTAAAGAGTCGAGCTCACCACCTTCTGACACCTAAAATTTCCAGAAGCTATAAATGTTTACAAAGAACTGCAGGATCCTACCAAGCTTCTTTAGTGTCCTGAGGGCTTGGCTTAATAACCATCAGGTTGGAAGCTAGCTAGCTAGCTAGCTAGCTATATCTATATCTCTATCTATCTATCTATCTATCTATCTATCTATCTATCTATCTATCTATCTATCTAATCATCTATCTAAATCTATCTATCTATCTAATCATCTTTTTATTTTTTTTATTTTTCCCCCAAAGCCCCAGTAGATAGTTGTGTGTCATAGCTGCACATCCTTCTAGTTGCTGTATGTGGGACGCGGCCTCAGCATGGCCGGAGAAGCAGTGCGTCGGTGCACGCCCGGGATCCGAACCCGGGCCACCAGTAGCGGAGCGCGCGCACTTAACCGCTAAGCCATGGGGCCGGCCCTATCTATCTATCTATCTATCTATCTATCTATCTCTATATATATGTGTGTCTGTGTGTGTGTATATATGTAATATATATAAAAGAATATAAATATTCTTTTCTAACCCTGCATGGCCACAGTGTTCTTTAAACTCTGGAGAAAATGGCCAGATGATGGATCATTCAGTGACTGTGAGAAATTTGATTTGAGTACTCATTGGTTTATTGATCCTTATCCTTCAAGAGATGGTTACTACTATTCTTTGTCTCTGTCTTTTGTGTCACTTGTCACAAAAAGGAAAAAACCGTAGGGCAAGATGCAGGCATCTCCACAAGCCTATTGTCTGGGCGGGCCCCAAGTAAAGTTTGCTGTAGGTTAAGTATGTGCATAAGGTGAAAGCTATTGCGAAGGGGCCTCTTGGAAGCCAAAAAAGACCACAAAATTGGTGGGCATGAGTGGAGCAGTTAAGAGCCATTATGGTGCTCGCCAGCTCCAGAAGACTCCTGTGATAGGATAAGTTGGTTATGGAATGGGGTAGATGATGACAGGTCCCCCTGCCAACCTACAGAAAATTTCCGTGCAATGGAAATGTAAAACCACATACAATCCGCAACTCTGAGGCACTTCTCTCCTGGGTATTAGTTTGGCTCCAAGAGACCCAAAATGCAGCTAAAGCTGCTAATGTGCATATAAGATGAGGTTTTTTTCTTTTGTCTTGTTCTATGTCTTGAGAGCTTGGCTTTGTGACTTCTTTGGTCTCCGTCATCTCCATCATCAGTACACATGCACGTACTGATGCGCATCTTGGTGGCCAGTCGAGTAGACTGAGCATCTGTGATGTGCTCTCTTTGTCCAGCTGCATCAGCTCTCAGGGGAGTTTGTCATGAGAGGTCCCAGTCCATTCGGGAGCCGTTGTCATCTCAACCTTCATTGTTAGTGCACTACCACCTATGCAGCAGAAGCCTTTGCTTTCTTGGGCTGTTTTTAGGAGTGGACTTCCTGGATCTTCTGAGGGTTGCTTCTTTTGCACGCTCTTTTGGGGGCACCTCTTGCGTCCATAGTTAAGCCAGAAATGCTTATTGGTTTGACTCGCTATTAAGATCCTACTTGTCAAAGGTCAGAGGATGGATCCTTAAATTGGAAAAACTTCTGAATTGGAAAAGTTTTTTAGAGAGCGCTCATAGTGACTAGTCTTAAGAACTTAAGCAAATTTGGAGTCTCAGCTTCCTCTTGTGGTCTTAAAGATGCTAATGAAAGCTCCACCCCCCTAGGGTAAGTTGGTCTAGAATTGAATTGTGCACTTGGGAAAAGGGCCTTTATTAAACATTTTTTGCAGACTTTTTAAAGGCGTGATACATTGTCCTGAAGTTTCAGAATAAAAATATTTTGATTCACTTCTTAAGTTAACAACACCCCTGACATAAAGAAGCAATTGGAAAAACGTAGCTGAAAGGGTGGGTCAGCATCTTTTATCATTCAGACTGTAATCCAGTTCTTTGGGGAACTGGAAACAACCATCTTTGTCTTCCAAATCTCTGCAGGGCCAGGGAGGTATGGCTCTAGAAGGTGGTTCAAAGTTCACTTGTCCTTTTTCCAATCCCAAAGCCTCCCTTGTTCCTCTCAAAATGCTCACAGATATTGGGATGTTAGAAACTGATAAGGCAAATTTGCCCTGGAAACTCCATCTTGTAGAAAACTTGGATGGTTTCTCTCTGCCTTTGTGATGTAGTTGGACAGGTAGATCAACCTATAATGTCATTTAAGTTACAACCCAATTTCTGAGGAATTAAGAACAACTGTCCTTAAAAAAATCCTTGCAAGACTATAAATGCAGCTCTAGAGGCAGTTCAGGGTCCACCTATTTTCCTTATCCCAAAGAGCTGGCAAACTCTCTGGGAAATATCTAGCCCATCACTGATTCCTAAGACTGAAGGAAAACAAGAAAAGAAAAACAGCATAAGAACACCCTCACCAAAAATCTAGCATCTTGAGTGTCTTCTCCACAAATTTTAGTAAAAAGCTTAAAATTTGGATTCATAACTAGGGAGCCTTGTATTACTGTACCTGATTCATGGCAGTAATTTTGAAACAATAGCTGTGGAGTCTCTCTGTTGGTGTGTCTTTATATATGTCTGTGTGATATATTACCTCTGGATGGTGTAGATTCTAACGAACTCTATTCAATTGGCTTAAAGTAAGCGCTTACATAAATTATGTCTAAAGGTAATAGAAACTAACCCAAATCTCTTTCAAGTTAACATGATAAAAAATAATCTTTAGTAAATGAAAGCTTATTTAAGATTGTTGGCTTGATAAAAATGGACATGTCCTCAGAGTTATCAGCACTGGATATGATGCAGACATGCAGTCTTTATTCTACTTTTATTGGTCAAATAAGTTGATGTTGTTTCTATTACAAAACTGGTTAGCAAAAATAGTAACTTAAAATGACAGCTAATTTTGCCTAATGTATGATAGAGTTTTGTCGGCAATCTAAATAATTGTTGGGAATGAGTAAACTAAATAGATATGAAAAAATAAAAGTGTCGGGTGCACTTTTTAGCAACAATTACGTGTTATGGCATGTATATTTAAGATAACTTCCAAAATCTCTCTGGTAACTTGAAACTTTGATGTTTTGCTAGGTGAAATTAAGTGATAAAAAACTCATTGTATATCTGGGTCATTTTCAAATAAGATAAAATATTGAAACATTGTCACTCAAGATGTCTAAGTTTATCTACTTTTGGCTTCTTCTTATGGAGAAACTAAAAGATGTTTGGGTCTATTAGTAATCATGTCTTGTATTTTATTAAAAATTGTACTATGAAGTAGCATGTTTCTAGAAATTATGAAAAGTGTTTGTAAACTACCGAAGCCACAGAATGGTAATGTAAAAGAGAGTTCATAGGGGCTGGCCCCGTGGCATAGCAGTTAAGTGCACGTGCTCTGCTGCTGGCGGCCCTGGGTTCAGATCCTGGACGCGCACTGACACACCGCTTGTCAGGCCATGCTGTGGCGGCGTCCCATATAAAGTGGAGGAAGATCAGCACGGATGTTAGCTCAGGGCTGATTTTCCTCACACACACACAAAAAAAAGTAAAAAAAAAACCGAACGCATGTTGCAAAAAAAAAAAGAGTTCATAATTGCTTACTTTTTAGTTTTCACTAAAAACTAAGGTCTGTAAGGGTTAAAAATTTTAATTAATATATGTAATTAAGGCTACTAAAAATTAATAAAACATCTTTATATTCAAGGAAAGTAAGATGTATATTTTCAGTAAAGAAGATATAAAGAATGGAAAATTTTGGTTTGTTTTGTTAAGAAAGATAAATTTGTCCTGAAGTACTAGAAGGGGAGAAAGAAGGCATGGGACAGGGGGCTGCCCTGGGGGCATAGTGGTTAAGTTGGCACACTCCGCTTCGGTGGCCCAAGGTTCACAGTTTCGGATCCTGGGCGTGGACCTATGCACCACTCATCAAGCCATGCTGAGGCGGCATCCCAGATAGAACAACTAGAAGGATGTACAAGTATGCCATGCAACTATCTACTGGGGCTTTGTGGAGAAAAAGGGGGAAAAAAAAGGAGGAAGATTGGAAGCAGATGTTATCTCAGGGCCAATCTTCCTCAAAAAAAAGAAGGTGGCATGGGACAAATTCTGAATGTAAAAAGGAAAGTTACAGAAGGTTTGTGGAAGAGGAACCCTGAGGAAAGAATTTTGTGTGGTAACACTCAGGGAAGAAAACCTCTTAAAAAAATTCCTATCAGGCTCTGAATATCAGCTTTTTTTTTTTTTAATTTTTGTTTATTGCAGTAACATTGGTTTATAACATTGTATGAATTTCAGATGTACATCGTTATACTTCTATTTCTGCATAGATTACATCGTGTTCACCACTCAAATACCAATTACAACCCATCACCACACACATGTGCCGAATTATCCCTTTCTCCCTCCTCCCTCACCCTGTCCCCTCTGGTAACCACCAATCCAATCTCTGTCTCTATGTGTTTGTTTATTATTGTTATTATCTACTACTTAATGAAGGAAATCATACGGTATTTGACCTGAATATCAGCTTTTAATTTGGCTAATTTTTGACCATAGAGCTACTTAAAAAAAAAAAAAAGACCTTCTAAATATCTTGTTAGTTTTCAGCCAGCAGAAACAGTAACTATTTCTTTTTTTTTTTTCTTATGAGGAAGATCAGCCCTGAGCTAACATCTGATGCCAATCCTCCTCTTTTTGCTGAGGAAGATTGGCCCTGGGCTAACATCCGTGCCCGTCTTCCTCTACTTTATATGGGATGCTGCCACAGCATGGCTTGACAAGCAGTGCATCGGTGCATGTCCGGGATCCAAACCTGCAAACCCTTGGCCAATGAGGCGGAGCGTGTGCACTTAACTGCTGTGCCACCAGGCCGGCTCCAAATATTTCTGGCAGTATTAAATAACCCAATTAATTCTAATTTTAATTTCCCCTAGGCTATTTAAGGGAACAACGTAGCAGTTTATCAGGAAAACCCCGAGTCTCATCAACTCTGGAAGAGGCCTGTCCGAGGGCTCTCCTACAAGAGTGGATATGAGGGGGTCAGTAAGGCCACTAACTTGCTGGACTTCTGTTTATGGTTGTGTAGTCTTGAAGGTCCCTCATAGCTTTAATTTTTCATTAGCTCTTTGCAATAAAAATTTCAAAGAAGCTATTTTAGAATGCTGAAGCCTTTGCATTTAATTGGAACTTTTAAGTGATCTTATCTAATTAGAATGTTCCGTCTACTGGCCATTTGAATTTAAATCATCCTTGGTAATTTTGGTCCATTGAGATAGAAATTTACAAGAGAAGATACCATAGTTCTTTTTTTTTTTTTTTTTTGTGAGGAAGATCAGCCCTGAGCTAACATCCATGCTAATCCTCCTCTTTTTGCTGAGGAAGACCGGCTCTGAGCTAACATCTATTGCCAATCCTCCTCCTTTTTTTTTCCCCCAAAGCCCCAGTAGATAGTTGTATGTCATAGTTGCACATCCTTCTAGTTGCTGTGTGTGGGACGCGGCCTCAGCATGGCCAGAGAAGCGGTGCGTCAGTGTGTGCCCAGGATCCGAACCTGGGCTGCCAGTAGCGGAGCGTGCGCCCGTAACTGCTAAGCCACAGGGCCGGCCTGGTACCATAGTTCTTATACATAAAACCAGCTGAAGTTTCCGAGGGTGGGTCTTCTCAGGAAACTTTTGAAAATGAAAGTCTCATGGGAAAGAAGAGTCCACAGACAGAATTGTTACTACACAGAATTTGGGTTCTCTGCCCAATGCACATAAACAAGCCAATTAATTATAGCATCAGCCTTTGGGAAAAGAGATCAGCTTCCTTCTGTGAGATCAATCTGCAAGGAGACAGTGGGTGTGTGTCCTCACACCTGTCTCCCTGATTCCGGATTTTGGGTGAAATTTAAGAGGTTAGGGAGAACAGGTTGTCACGCAGAAACATTGGCAGGACAGGTTTTGCTTGGTGGGCTTCAAGCATTTATGGTCAAGTTTTAAACATTTATGACAGGATTCTAAACATTTTTTGATGAGGTGGGGAAGGAATTTTAACACTAGATCCTCCTGAATGAGGGACGCTTCATGTCTGAAAAGAGTCTGACTTTCAAGTTCCAGTCGTGTCTCTGTCCTTGGGTTCTGTGAGAAGGAGGGTCTTTGGTTCCGAGGTTGTTTCAGGTCACAATTTCTTCTTTTGCATATGCCCTGGCTGTGTGACTTTGCACATTTTCTGCAAGGCAATTCTTAATCACTCTGTTGATAAGCGATGGAGTCAGTTGAACTGGTCCTGGGGGGGCCTGCAGTTACAAATCCCCCCTTTTTGTTGTTCACTCCTCAATCTTGAGGGGCATAGGGTGACGGCTGCTCTGTCTGCCTACTGATAAGGGGCGTAGGTTGTTCCATCTCATTGAACCAGTCTCTTATTAGTAAGATGGTGATGCAGGTGGGCTCCCAAACTTAGGCCTATATTGTGTAAACAAGTAATCAGGTATTTAATAAGAAGCATTTCTAAAGAAACAAAAAGAAAAACAAGTCTAATGGTGGCAGCAAATTATAGTCCAGTTTCTGAGCCCAGGGAGCAGCCAGTGAAAGGATTTCTAGATATCAGAGTCAAAGCATCTTTTACTGTTTGAAACGTCTCTGATGATGTCATCAGGTGTTCAGGTATCTTTCTGAGTGGCTTACACAGCAACAGACATGAATCTCTCTTAAGTTTCTATCAAGTTGTCAAGCTTCAGTTTGCAGGGCTTCAGGAAAAAGAGCAGGTTCAGTTCTCAGTGATTGCAAATGAA